CTTCCCACAGCTGGGTGGGTACCGTACAGATGGTCCTAATGATAAAGCATCAGCAGCCATACAACAGCCAGAAATGGTGACTTGACAACAGCAGAAGTTGGTTTCCCTCAGAAGTAACAACTTGGAGCAGACTTTAAGTGCAGCACAGTATTGAAATAAAATACTGAACTGCCAAAAGACAGATTCTTTCCACAAAATAAACTAATCACATTTCCCATTGCACAGTTTGTTTGTGCGTGGTCAGGCCCATTGGTATTGTAGCAACAGACGGAGACGGAGAAAAATCTCCCTCTTGGCGTCCTGCGGCAAAAGGAAGAAGAGCATCGCTTGGCATTGATGCCGATGATGAGTGAGTACATGGAAAAGAGAGCCAGCGAGGCCAGAGAAGTGTGGGGTTGGGGACGTTAGCAGGCAGTGAGTGTCCAAGTCCCTCACATCACCCTGCACCACACTCTGTATCCTCACTGTGCTCTGTGCTCGCAGGATGTGGAGCTTCTTGTCTGAATGCTCTAAACTGGAAATGATGCAGCAAGTTGTGAAGCTGGTCCTACGTGACAAGTTGTCCTAAGATATTATTTTGGAATGAGACTCTGAATTGTCTAAATTATGATTTCTGTAGGGTTGTCTACAGAAAACCTCGGCAAAATGTCTGGACTTCAGTGCATGCAGCTTTATCAGTCCACTAAATATGCTTATGTTTTTGTCATCACGATCCACTAAAACATACAACACAAACTCCCTGGTGGAGATATACCCACTGCCCACCCTGTGCTCACTGCTTATTCAGTGATCAATTATGATCAGTTCCATCAAAATGAAATGGTTGGAACTCTGCTAATGATTTGTTTGTCTTCCACAAAGACCTTAAATAACTTCCCAGATAAAGTTGATTGATTTTTCTCTCTTTCACGTGTTCAAACTTCTTGTGCACAGATAGGCTGAGTTCCAGTTTCCCCTCCCCTCTGTCTGGCCCTGTCCTCAGTGGGCAGCCTGCCAGCATCTCTGCCCAGTTAGCAGTGCGGTGCTGGGAACCCCAAGGCCCCAAGCAGGTGTCAACCTCCCTGACTAGCCAAAGGAGCTGAGAGGGGAACACAAAGGGCTCAAAGAGTCCTGCCAGCATGGTTACCGTCTTAAATATCCCCAGCCCAGTGTGGCTACTGCTCTAAATCTCTCAGTAGCATAGGGTAGATGCCAGTTTTCTCTTTCTGCTACTGTAACGCTGACTCTGGAAGGGGTTTGAAGCTTTTTTCCAAAGCCCTAAATGGGGAACAGAGTGGTGAGATTGACAGAGGGCATCGGGAGTGCACAGACGGAGGGCAGAAGTCTCTTTCGAAGCTTTTATTTATGCAGCGTGCCACCAGAGGGTTTTTTTCAAAGGACACAAACAGAGAAATTTAGTCCTTCTGGGGTTTTTGTCATGGTTTAACTTTTGTTATCTCATCCATTCATGCTACGCCTGCGTCACGCCCGTCCTTTCTCTCTGCTTCTCTTAAACAATCACAGCTAATGCCACCGTCATTAGACACTTCACGGATCATCTTTACGGGATGCGTCCACATCCCAAGCTCATGGGCCTGTGTGATCTTTGAAAACACCGGCTCGGCTCAGCGCTTTCCTCCCGGCTAAGCTGTCCTGGCATTTAGATTGGCAAGAGCGTAAAAGAACTGGATAAGAGGGAAACGTGATGTTGTTCTCTCTCTGTCCCCTCTTTCTCTCTCTGTTCATTGTTGAGTACTCTGCGGCGATGATGTGGATGTGATGGGGGAGGAGTGGAGTGGAGGCTACCCTCATCTTCAGTAAACAATAGGTCCTTGTGTATTTGACCCCCTCTATAGCCGAGCAGAGTCCATGACTAAGACTGAAGCTGGGATGGAATTCCATCTTTGCCTGATTCAGTTGGAGAAAACCTTTGCCAAAAAAATCTAAAACCCTAGTATTAGGAGGGTTAAAGTTCTGTAGCTATTTGTTTTAATTTACAAACAGATCAATAATCAATTCTCTTTCTGCCCCGTTTTCTCTAACCAATGTCACCCTAGATAATGATCTATGGCCCTTGGCTGGGTAACTGATTACTAACCTATATTTGAGTGGAATTAGCCACAATGGTGCTACTAGGTCATTAATTTGTGGTTGACAATGATTTATCTGTTTTTTATGATTGTATCGTTTGCTCTGTTGTTACTGGTTAAAAAAAATCTAAACAGAGCACAAACGACCCAGAAAAGGAGTTTGAGAATTTAACCTTTTGGTTGTAAGATCTTGGAGGTTTTTATTTGCTCCACCAAGAAGGTTGTGATTTTGTGTCTGTCCATTTGTTTGTCTGAATTATGCAAAAGCTTCTAAGCAGATTTACACAAAACTTAGTGGAAGGATGGGACAAGAGGGACATTGGCGCAGATGGAGGAATATTTTTTTACCGCTTTCTTTAGCATTGCAACCTAGAAGGTGTTAGAGACATTTTTATGTTTATCGCAAATCATAATTTCATAAACTTGATTGCTGTTGTAAATTCGCCTAACTGGTGATTTGAAGGAAGTTATTCTGGTTTGATTATTTGATCTATTATCTATTGGCATTAATCAGATGATGATGAGCTGCGATGGAGCAATCATGTAGGAAACGTGTTGCAGATCGGCACAGTCTTTGACCGCACATCACACTTTGTTGTTTTACTTTGTTTGAATTTTACATTTTTTAAGGCAACAGAATCAGTGTCAAGAAGCAGAGCCTCGTTAATGCGGCGCAGTTTGAAAGAAAATAACAGAACGGGCCAGGACAGGGTTTTGTTTTCACAATATCACAGATATTCCAGAATATAATGTATGGAACTTGAAGATTTTATATTTAGAGGACTGTGTTTAATGTAGTGCAGCTTGAGCTCCGATAACCTCTTACCCCCATCCCGGCCCACCCATTTTGCGGAGGTGTGCTGCTGCGGGTACTTTAGTTCCTCCTGGAAACCAGAATAACCTGTTTAGTGACAGATCATTTTACTCTTGGGAAAAGTGAAGTGAGTCCACTGAGCGGTTAGACCTACCTTCCTTCTGCTTGTTTCTTTTTCATGCCTAATCATTATAAAGACCAAATTCATTGATGTTAAACACGAGTAAAGACAGGTGACAAGGCTTTCTCTCATTAGAAGAGGAGAAAGGAAGAACACGAGCCTGACGATTGAATAATGTGAGTTAACCACTTTGAGTTAAAACCACATCAATGTTAATGATATTTGCACAGCGCTCCGTCCGTGTCCGAGCGAATTTAGCCGACAGTCATGAAAATTGACCTCAAGGTTATTGTGCATGTGGCCTTCACTGCAGTAAATTTACCAAACATGGCATGTATTACAAGCAGGATTGAGAACAGATTTAGAGATTTATTTTAATATTTTACTTTAAGCTTTAAATCTCGTGCTTTACCCCCAGCTTTTCTGTTGACCCAGAACTGTAGACTTTAAACACGGTGTGTTCAACTATTAAGATACTATCTATTTCAAATAAAAAACTAGTCTTTCTAAAATGACTGAGAGCATCCAAATGTCATTATTGATAACGACCAAAACCTCCTTAACTGAGACATCAGAAAATCAACAAGTGTCCTAAAAACCAAACAGAGCTTGGTTTTATTTTCTGCTTTATAACATGTCATGATTGTTTGAGGCTATTTATTATATCACTTCTGCAGTAAATGGGTGCATATAAAGTCATTTACAGATATGAGCTGTGAAATATGAGGAAAATGGAGTTCTGGTGTTATCCTTTCACATATGAAGAACAAGATTGTTGGTGTTCACAACAGGAAAATGTAGGGAAAAGTGAGTTTCACTTTAATGTCTAGAGAAAAGAAAAACGATCAGCTTTAAAACATGACATGTAAAGGTGTAATTGAATTTGACATTATTTGCGTCCTGGGGTGGGTCTGGATAAGTTAACACCCACAAATGGCACAGGGCAGCCTAATGGATTCCTTATCATCCACATCCTGTGGCAAACGCAGCAGGAACGATGACCTGTTAAAAGGCTGAAAGATCACGATGCTCCACAAATTGGCAAATGGAAAACAACACTTGCACCTGATAAGAGCTGATACTGTAGCTACCAGGAATGCTGTCGCCGTCATCCTCATCATTGTTACTGTCACTGTATGAGGCGAGGCCAACGTATACACCCATTACTGTGTCTAAACAATGCTGCCGTGCAGAGTAACAAGTAAAAAGGGGATTTTCTTAAGCCCGAGGTGTTAGGTCGGTGCATAACTGCTAACAGATATTAAACACAGTTATGTCAGAGAGTGACACCAGCTGCACGTGGGTCTCTGCAAACTAGAGATGGGTCATGTAAGTTCAGGATGTCGTCATGGGCTGCATCCCTCGCTCTTCACCGCCGCCTCCTCTGGCTCCTGGAGTATCCGGACGCAACCGATTAAGAGGCGACTATCGTAAATGGCTTTGTTGTCTCTCTACACTGGTGAGAGCTTACGTCCTGTTTTCTGGTGTATCAGATTAAATAATGGCTGATTTATGAACATGATGGAGAAAAAACGCCACCTGTTTGATTACAGCTGTCTATTGTCTGCACTGTTCCCCTAAAAACGACACAAAGAACTGAATTTAATACAAATTTGAATTAAAAATCCCATGATATACACGCACATGTTTTTTAGACATTTGTGCAATGTAGCACAACTAATTTAAATGTATAGGGCTGCAACAAAGTGTTTTGTCATGAGTAATCAACTTGCAGGTTACTTTGTTGAGTAACTGATTAAAGATTCAGTTTATACATTATCTATATCTAAATTGTCATACATACATTTTCATGTAAGAAAAACAATCTCTAAATATTTGAGGTAAGAATCAGTCAATTTTGGCCTGAAATATTACTGAAGCCATGAATTGATGAATCGACTATGCAGCTCGAATGTCATAAATGTGAAAACGTGGCATATGTTTCTGATATTTTAAGAGAAGTGATTTTTTTTTGCTGTCTCACTCCAAAAGATCATCTCTCATGCATGTGACTGACGTGCTCCACTGACCCTCTGAGCGTCACAAAAGAGGATGAATCAGTTCTGCCAGTTCTCAGTATGAGGGAAGTGGATTTGATGCCTGTCCCCTTTTTTTAGTGTCTGTGCTGCACGATAAGGCTGTGAGGAACTCGCTTATTTCTTCATCCTCGTAAAATGCTTTTTTCCAGTGCATCAGGTGTGTTGCTTTACTTTTGTCCATCCACGTGTGTGTCTTTGCAGAGGAAACTTCACCGTTCCGAAGTTATCAGAGTCTAATATGGGTTTTGGCGTGCTAGGAGTGTTTCTGGGTCTGCTCCTGGAGGTCTCCACCCACGGACCCCACGCTGTGCCTAGAACGTCCTGGAGACACCAAGGTGAGGCGTACTGTACAGAACATTGTCTAAATGAAGTATGTTGATGAGATGAAGCAGCAATTTGAGGGACAAATACATTGTTAATCATTTTGATTACTAAAATTGATGATAAAAATACCACAACATTTTCCATGATGTGAAAATGTAACAAAAAAAGACATTTAAAGACTTTTGTTGAATTTTTGTCTTCTTCTACATGATTTATAAATGAGGTAATCGATCAAATACTTCTAAACCATTTCTGGTAAATGTTACTCAGAAGCTCAGATGCTGATTTAAATTGAAACTTTAAGTTTCAGTACAGTTTTTGAACTATATCTTTTAACTTGCTTGGTTACATCAGTTTACTTTTCTATTGATCTCCTCTGACTCAGACTCTCCTCCATTTCACCTCAGGCTCTTCAGTTGTTGAGCTTTAACCGTCAGACGGACGTTGTGTTTGCTTACCGCTGTTCACATAAATAGCTGCAGTAACTCAGTCGCTGTGTTAGACCCAGCGCAGCTCAACCTTTAACAAAGTGTCTCCAGTAGCTGCGGCACAGTCACTGTTGCAGTCAGTCAGTCACTGAGAGTATTTGCTTTCATCATTGTGGTGTTTATGTCCAGGCACCTGCAACCTGACCCACTTGCACCTGGCACAACCAAAAGCCGTGCAAACACAAACTCTCCCCTAGATTTGCCCTCCATCGCATCTGACAGCACAACGAGACATATGCTCGACAGAATCGTGTCTAGTACATACGTTCAGTTTCTGCAGCACTCAAAGCTGCATGTTTTGGTGGCCTTGTCCTCCATGTTACATCTAGAGCCTTGTGTTGACATTGTTAGAGTTCATCAGGGGTACGCCAGTAAATACTAAGTGCAACTTAACCCGGCTGCAACAGGAAACGACCTTGATGAGGACAGTGAAAGTGAAGCCAAACCTATAAAACTAGTCCTGCACCATAAAACAAACACAATGAGCTGAAAGACGTTAAAACAGGAGATTAGGGTTAATAATTATCTCTTGAGTTGTCACTACAGTAGACTTCTCTCACATTAATCAAGCCAGTTTAGCTGATTTTAATACAAAACCATGGATCATATCAGATATTTCTCAAATGTAAAATTAGCTTTTATGGTCTTTGTGGTTGCTTAACTAACGTGATCTGATCCTGTTGAGCACAGATCTAGATCTGCTGGAGTTTTCTGAGTCCGGGATCTACAACTACTCTACGTTGCTGCTGAGCGAGAAAAAGGATGCGCTGTATGTCGGAGCCAGGGAGGCCATCTTCGAGCTCAGCAAGAAGAACGTGACAGTCAGGAACAACAAGGTATCAACCGCAAAGGAGATTTCTGACAAATGGAGATTTAAAGAAACATCCACCGCATTTTCAAAACTCTTTTTAACCATTAAGGCTCAGTGGACCGTGGCAGAAAACCCCTTGTTGATGTGCACGCTTAAAGGAAAATCAAAAGAGGTTTGTTCATCTTGATTGTTTCAGAATAATTATCTCTGTGTTATCAGTGAATAACGAAACATGAGAGTAATTAAATGTATTTATGATTCTTGGTTTCCAGAGGGATTGTCTAAACTACATTCGGGTTCTACAAGTGGTAGACGACGAGCGGTTGTACGTCTGTGGCACACACGCCTTTCAACCTCGGTGTGATTACTTGGTAGGTTTCTGCTCACTCCCTCCGTCTGCGTCCTTCACAAATAAATGTGTCCGAACTCGCCGATCAGTGCAGCAACCTGTTAACTTTTTAACTGACACTGAATCCCCTCCACTCTCAGAACCTCGCTGACTTCTCATTGGACGGTCGAGCTGAAGACGGCCGGGGACAATGCTCCTTTGACCCGTCGCAGAGCTTCACCACTGTCATGGTTGGTGAGTAGCAGAGTCCGGTTTTATCTCATTTCACTAAGAGCTCATTTGGTCATCCGCCCTGCAGTAAAAAGCATAATAATCTTCAATAATCTCTTTTTCTCTCTGGGTTGGGGAAAGCATGATGGATTCGCTGGACAATAAATTTCTCTTTTTCATTTTCTGCTTCTCTATCAGACGGAGAGCTGTACTCTGGCACGGCTTTTAACTTCTTAGGCAGCGAACCGATTATTTCCAGATACTCTCCATACCAGTCCCTGCTCCGGACGGAGTACTCCACGTCGTGGCTCAATGGTGAGTTGGAACAGAACGTGACAAGTGAACATCTTGAATTCATTTTAGGAGTGTTTGGTTTGGAGGAGATGATTTTCCAAAGCGTCAAAGATTTGGTTTCGGATAAAGATGTAGCGCCAGTCCTATGTGGAGGCATTTTAATGGATCTGTATCGGCGAACACAAAGCCTCCAACTCCTCTCCTGTCCTTTGAAAGACTAAATATATAAAATATAAAAATTATTTTGTTTCTATGTGCAAGTGAAAATGCAAAAAGCTTGGCCAGCTGTTGCTCAGGGAGTATAACGGGTTGACCACTAACCCGAAGGTCGGTGGTTTGATCTACGGCTGCTCTAGTCCACATGCCAAAGTGTCCTTGGGCAAGATAACCCCAAATTGCTGCTGTTGGGAGAGAGTGATAGAAAAATAATGCTGTGGGAATGTGTGAATGTGACTGTAAAGCACTTTGAGTGGTCGATCCGACTGGAAAAGCACGATATAAACAGGCATTTTATTTTTTGGCGAGTGTTCTGACACTGAGATTTGCAAAATGCTCAGATAATCAGATACAGTGTACAAAATATCCATTGACTGTTGGCATGGCATTGATAGTGTTCACTCTCTGTGTAACATTTCATTTTGGCAACAGGCTAATTTAATTCAGTTGTCATTCATATCATATCAGTATTTTAAGTGTTAAATAAGTAAACATTCATTACAAATTCATGTTATAGTATTATAATTGTCGATCTGTGATGGGATCTCTCAGGACGGACGTTAATACCAGGTCTGAACAGGGCCTAAGTCTTGGATTGGATTTGGTATCAGCAGAGACCGACGATTATAGGACTTGGATCGGGTTTCATGGTCAAAGAAAACTTGAGTGGGACATCCCTAGTGTCTAGTTGTTAGGGTTGAAAAGAGGTTTCTGCTAAATTATGTGTAATAGCACCCTTAGGAACAGGAACACAATGAGGCTTTCATGATAACAGATCAATTATCTTGGTCTTCCTCCATTTTCACCATCTACTTTCTCTTTCTTTCTCTCCGCTCTCCTCGCAGAGCCCAGTTTTGTTTACGCAGACGTGATCAGAGAAGGGAGGAACCAAGCATATGGCGAGGACGACAAAATCTACTACTTTTTCACCGAGGTGTCGGTGGAGTACGAATTCTTTGGCAAGCTGCTCATCCCCAGGGTGGCCCGCGTCTGTAAGGTCAGTGCACGTCATGTACCATCTGTACATACCAGCAGCACCTGCCTCTATAGCCCTGACCTTTCTGCTGACTGTGAGCGCATGTCATATTCTGTGTAGAGTCATCCTCTTCTTCTTTTGTCTTGTATCTCTTACCTGAGCTCATATCATAGCATACATTTTGTTTTTTAGTGTGTCATGTAAATTCAGGAGCAGAGTCCAGATCAGGCCGGGAAAAAAAAAAGCTTTCTACGAATCCCTTTCTAAAATATAGCATGTACGTGAATGTAATAGCACTCACTCTCTGAGTTTCAGGAAATTTCAGGAGGCAATATGACCACATTTCCTCATACATTAAAATCAGCTTGTGTTTAGCGTCATAGTTACGACCCTCCGTATAATTTCAGGAGAATATCTGGAGTTCATTGTTTTTCTGAAAGCAGATTATGACTGATGAGTGAAATTTTGGATCCAACAGCTGTGATAAACTGTGATCCTATGTGTACACTACCCAAAAAGCTCCTCTGTTTTCCTCATCCTCTTCCTCTCCCCACATTTCTTAATGTCTTCATAATCTCACCACAGGGTGACCTCGGGGGGCAGCGCACTCTGCAGAAGAAGTGGACGTCCTTTCTCAAGGCTAAGCTGGTGTGCTCCATGCCCGAGCTCAACTTCGTCTTCAACGTAGTGCACGACGTCTTCATTCTGAAGGAGTCCGACTGGAGGGACACGGTCATCTACGGTGTCTTCACCTCCCAGTGGTGAGTGATTTGGAGATCTTGAGCGGGGGATGAGGAAAAGGAAAACAAAATGGGGTATTGCAATATAGTGCAGGTTTTTAAATTCACTTCTCCCTCATTTCTCTCGACACCATCATCCTCGTGCCTCAGGGGTAACGTGGGCCTGTCAGCTGTGTGCGCTTATAACATGACGGCTGTGGAGGACGTCTTCTCCAAGGGCAAGTACATGCAGAAGGCCACAGTGGAGCAGAGTCACACCAAGTGGGTGCGCTACAATGGCATCACTCCTTCTCCACGTCCTGGAGCAGTAAGTCCTTTGAACGCAACTTTGAACTATGAAGACTGAGCTCAGACTGAGCTGCTTAACTAAGTTACTAAAAAGGGCCCAGAAACAACCATGGATGTGAGTTACCATATAATCTTTATTTTGTCCACCAGTGCATCAACAACTTAATGCGACAGCAGAACATCAGCAGCTCCCTCCACCTCCCAGACAAGACCCTTCAGTTTGTTAAGGACCACCCCCTGCTGGAGGACCCTGTCCTGCCCATCGGCAACGGTCCTCGCCTCATCACCAAAGACGTCAACTACACCCAGATCGTCGTGGAGAGGGTCCGGGCGCTCGACGGGAACATTTACGACGTCATCTTTACTGCAACAGGTCACAAGAGTTTATCAGTTTACACTCATTTAAATTTCAAAATTTTGATAGATTAGGATCTACTTATAACAGCCATTCAGTGTGCATGTGCTGGCACAGAGTCTCATACCAAATATTTATTTTGTTTTATTGCATTCACTGAAGTGTATTAAACTAAAGTCAGTTTACACAAGGGAATATGCTTGTCATTAAATAGCTCAGCAGCAAGTAAGCAAGAAAGTGATATCCTGTATCACAACTTTCCTTCATTGGTATTTTTTTAACCAAACAACAAAGTGGACACATTTTTATAAGTAGAACACTGAGCTTATTACAGTATAGGTTGTTGAGTTGAGTTTGTCATATTGTCTGCTGATGTAGTTCTTTTTATACTTTCAAGTAATTGCAGACATTTCAACTATTGTACATTTTTTAAAGCCATTTCAATGTTAAAACAATAGATAAAAGATGGAGATTAATATGCTAAAGTCAGTCTTGCCAGTCTTAAATCTTTTCATTAAATATGCTCATCTCTTTGAATCAAAATATGTTTTTCTCTTGTCTCTCTCTGTCTTTCCGGTCTTTAGTTTGTTTGACTTTATTACATCCTCCATTTGATTATGGGGAAGGAACATGCACACATACACATTTCTACACAACAAAGGCCCTCTCTCACACACGAATCTCATACAGTTGATTTCCTTCTATCTTTTTTGTTTTACCTATTGCTGCTGCGCTGTACACTAATCCAATGTTTGCCCCTTTATGTTAATTTTGCCTGGTTACCCATTGTGGTCAGGTCTGTCTCTTCATGGTTCACCCGTTATGTCGCATTTCACAACATATGTGTAATTTCTGGCTTCTGCCTCGGCCGGCTGACTTAGATTTGACCTTGTTCTTCTTTAGATAAGGGCGTCTTGCATAAGTCGGTGGTGTACGAAGGAGACGTTCACATGGTGGAGGAGATCCAGCTTCTAAAGAACCCAGAGCCCATCAAGAACTTACTGCTGTCATCTGAGGTCAGTGACTTTCACACAAAGACACAACTGCATTTGAGATGAGCGTGTGTGCGTGTGTGCGTGCGTGCGTGTGTGTGTGTGAGATATGTGAGATGTGTGAGATGTGTGAGATGTGTGTGTGTGAGATGTGTG